TAATCCCTCCCTCTGCAGTTCCAACCTGGAGTACCAGCAATGAGCACAACAGGAACTGCGCATCCTCGGGGTGCACAAACCAGCACAGCACACGCACTGGGGCAGTAACACTGCTCTGGAGTGGAAGAACATTGCTGCAGCAGGCCCCAGTAAGAAACACCTGTACCCTTGGGTCTGTACCTGCAGAGGGCAATACACCAGAGAACCCAGGGACAGGCACTCACAGTCAGAGCCATTTGTGGAATGGGTTTGGTGCTGATGGCCAGGGGTGGGGAGCAGTGTCTGGCTTTGTTTTCCTTTGTTCCGCTGCCCTCTGATGTAGGGACTGACTCCAGCTGGCAGGAGACCCCATGGAATCCATACACTGCTCCTGCAGTGACATCAGTGACAGGAGCAGCAGAGCAGGAAGAGCTGGCTCCAGAGCTGATCCATCTCACTGGAACAGGACTCCCTCAGCCCCAGCAGGAACCCTCCACGTGCCCATCTCTGCTGGTCCCACCTTCTCTGCTAATGACCCAGGAGGAAGGAAAGCCCAGCCCCACGTGCTCTTTGTCAGCCTGGGGAACACACTGTCCAAAGGACAGGAATGGTTAAGTGGCCTAGTGGGCCTTCAACCAAGAGAGAGCAGAGACCAGAGCAATGGGAACCAGGCCAATTGTCTAGACAGCAGGCAAAAAACCACGCCAGCTAAATTTAATCAGCTGCCTCCTTTACTTTGTAAAGTGAATGGGCAGATTACAGACAGGGTGACACATAATTTGCAATTGAAATTGCTTGTTTAATCATAATTTAAAGAGATGAACTTCATCCCAGGTCCATATCCATCACTCTTATGTATGCACATCAAACCAAGAGCCATCTCCACAATAAACAGCAGTGGCTGTGCACTCTCCCCAGTTGATATATTCTTTTGCTGATTCCCCCCACTTGCCCTTTTTCCAGGCTATCATAACTTTTCTGCTCTTCACAGAGGGTCTTTTAAGATTCAGACTGGCAGCTTCTTTCTTGAGAAAGGGGCAAAGTTGGCAAAGGACAAATCACGTGATTTATAACATCTACTGACTACAATCCACTGCCCAGACTGTGGTACAGAACAGCTGGCAGGATAGTCAACAATAGTTCTTATTAGAGAGTTGCTATTTAAACCCAGCAGCTCTAGCCCAGTTTTGATCCAAACCCTTAGAGGAAACATGATAAAACTCTAAACCATTAGAGGAGGTGGGGGGCCGGGCATGGGGAGAAATGTGCCTTTGGTGGTACAGATACCTACAAGTCCTAGCACCCGACTCAACCCTTCTCTAAAAGTTAAGGTGGAATTCATGATCACAGACCTCGTGCAACACATCACCAGTGAGAACAAGAATAGGAAAAAGGGACATCAGTAACAGCTGAACCATCAACCCCAAAGTGGCATTAATGTAACTTTTTTAAGTTACACCTCCCACCACCGTTTCCTTGTCTTAAATCACTAAAATTTGAGAAAACCAATATAAGTTGGTAAAATCACCCCCAACTCTTTTTCATCTGTAACACAACCACTGAAAATCCCAGTGGAAACTTTAATGGATGTCTGAATATTAACCTTTTCTGTTGTTTAAAATTTCAGCTCTTCACATACTTTGATGCTGCTGCTTATGGCAGCAAATATAACTCTTCAGCAACTGTATACAGAATTGGCACAGTTTTGCTTAAAACCATTTTACAAAGTATTCAAAGGAAATACCTAATGCTGCAACCATTAACCTTGTAAGAGTAATAGCTCCCTTTGTTTTGGGTTTGAGGGTTTTTTTTAAGTGAAGTGGAACTGCTTTTCACTATTTTCTCAGGTTGAAGTAAAATAGAGTATTATGATCCCTTTTTAGAAACAGGGAATGGTTTCAACAATGAACATCCAGTGCAAGGATTCCATATAAAAACTTAAAAGTTGCACAGTTCTTTTAATCTAAGACAAAATCACTAATATTCATAATCAATACACTCGTTTAAAGAGTACTCCCAGAGATGTGCTGGGCAGTGCTTCCTGAGACACTGCAGTGAGTTACAGCAAGCTTATTCATTCAAACAGCAAGAGCTAAAATACAGAACATACACTGCAAGCATATCCAAAGTTCACAATCACAAGCGTTTATGTCAAAAATCCTGCCTCCTACACTCACACTCAGAGAACATACATGCACCATGAAATCCCCACTGCAACTGAAATAATCTCTATTTCAGATGGTATCACAAGTGACAGACCAAGTTATTTGTAAGCTTTTGATCAGATGTCTGTAAAAAACAAATGAACTCAAGAAAATTGCATCTGATTCACAGATAATTGTGATCAAAGACATTATATTTACATGACCTGCTATGATCACAGCAGGTTCCCATAATCACCTCACAGTATAAAATACTGAAAAATAAACACTTTCCTGCTCACCAAAAGAAAGCATGGATATAGTTTATTAAAACAACATATTACCTCTTAAAAATGCCTCCTAACTACAATATGCCAATAACAACAAATAACAACACATGCATCTCTTGTTTATAGATACACAGAAACCCCCCCAGTTTAATTTTTTAATAGGTGCAACTATCGAAAGGAAATAAAGTCAATATGGAATCAGTAGACTACTACTGAGTTAACCTATCAAATACAACACTGCCCAAGGTTTTTCAGTCAATTTGGAAGCTGTTATGTCCTGCGTGGCATTCCATGCACCTGCATCACACACACCAGCACAGGGATCTGCACTGGAGGCAGAAGGTTTAAGGAAAAAAGCCCAAAAATCACGTATTTGCAGCAGGAAAGACCCTGTTCCTCAGTGTTCTGCAGAGCTGCTGTGACTGTGCCACCTCCCTGTCCGGGCAAACCAAACCTCTGCAGGGCACAGGAGCCAGGGCTTTATTTCAGCCCATGTTCAAAGCCAGACAATCCAAAATAGAGCCCTCGCACAGAATGGGTTTCATCCTTTGTTTACTGCCTTAAATGCACAGAGGAACAGGCCAGAAGGCAAACCCTGAGCCCTGAAAACAGTGAAACACAAGGCAAAGGGGCAAGACACAGACCTGTGCTCACCAAAGAGCAAACACCCATGATAACAGCTTCCTAACACCCAGAAATGCAACAGAGGTAAAAATGCAAGGAAGGGAACACAAAGCAGTACGAGTGACCTGGTAGAGCAAACTGGCATGTGTTTGATTCCAGGGATAAAAAGCTAAAGGAACAGACGTGCCCTGGCCAAAGGCCAGCTCCTAACAGAACACAAACCTCGTAAGATCTGAGTTCTGGTTTTGATTTCCAACCCATGAACTTTAAGTGGATTTGAAATCACACAGAACATGTTCACCCATTTGTGTTTGTAGGAGGAAGAACAGACGGGCAGGCTCTGGCTGGGGCAGGGACACAGCTGCCCCTGTGGCTGCCCAGGCAGGCCCTGGTCCCTCTGGAGCCAGCACAAAGGAGTGCCCGCAGCTGGCAGTGCCCTGCGGGGCTGCCAGAGCCCAGGGGCAGCTTTGGCCAGGCTTTGTTGTTGCTGCCGAGTTTACAAGGAAAGGTTTCTACTCCAGGAGGCAAAGGGGGGGCTGGGGGAGCCTCCTGCACCACGTCCATGGCCTGGCTGGAGCTGTACCCCACACACCCCACAGCAGGAACATTGCAGTGACCACAGGCTGGGAACACAGGGGAGAAACTTCCTGAGATCAGGAACAGCTCTTACAGGCAACTGGGTATAACTGGGAAAGGGGAACAGCATTTCAGGCACACAGAACATCTATCAGACACCTGCAGAGAAGGCTGTGCATCTGCAATCTCCCTTGCTGTTCCAGTCTCATTAACAGCTCTACTGCAAGGTGTTATTTCTCTCCACAAACTTTTTTTTAAACAATTTCTTTCAATTATATGTAAGATTTCATATATGTTTGGGGGCCCAGAACAAGCTTCAGAACTGCATGGTAAGTGCCCCATTAGCTCAGACTCCCACGCTCCTGACAGAGCTGCACCACCTTTCCCTGAGATGCCTCACCCTTCCCTTGGAAGGGCATATCCCAGTTCTGTCCTGAGGGAGTGTGTTACCATCACACCTGGCTCAGACAGGAAGGAGACAGAGCTGCAGTTGGAGCCTGATGTTCCATGCCATCAATACCAGGTCTCTGGGACACTGGAGGTTTAGACTGGATATCGGGAAAAGGTTCTTCCCCCAGAGGGTGGTTGGGCACTGACCAGGCTCCCCAGGGCAGTGGGCACGGCCCCAAGGCTGCCAGAGCTCCAGGAGGGTTTGGACAATGCTCTCAGGGACAGGGTGGGACTGTTGGGGTGTCCTGGGCAGGGGTTGGACTGGATGGTCTTTGTGGTCCCTTGCAGCTCCTGACTCCATGAGCAGCACTGCAGGAACACAGCACTGCTCACCACAAAGAGCAGCACCAAACATCCTTCAGCTTTCTCCTCTTCCCAGCCAGTGCAATCAGAGCACATTCTTTGGCAGAAGAAGTTCACAAAGACCCAAGAAATCAAACATAAATCTGGTGATGTGCCGAGGGGGGAAGAGCAGAGGGAAGGGAACTGGCAGGCTTTGTTATTGAGCACACTTGGTGTTATCCAACAGATCCAAGAGTAACGTACAGCAACTGGACTCTGGACAGGAAATCTATTACACTGACTGCCCTCAAGTATGTATGTTGTGATTGCAGAGAAAGCAAAATGCCTAATTCTGGATGCCTCGGGAATAAAAATGAATAAATTTATATTTTCCTAATTTTGAGATAAACCTAGTCAAAATTTTTCCATGGAAGCTATTCCTCAACAATGAACCAGGTTTCCAATAAAGCTTTTTTTTTTCCTTTTTTGTGAGAAGTATCTGCTTTTGGATGCCTTCCTGAGATGTAATCCAGCTAGGAAAACAGGACCCTAGAGCAAATAAGCTTATTGTTATAATCAAAACCTGAAGTTTTCGGTTTTTCTTTTAAAGCTGTGATTTCTCTTTGGTGAGAAGACTTTTCCAGTGAGACCTCATTTCCTGGGCATTTCCATGCAGGGAATCCCTTCAGAATTCCACAGTACAGATAACATGTTAGATTTTACAGGTGCAAACCATCCTTTTTCCCAGTTTCAGTTTTCCTTTGGGTAGAATCTGCAGGACTACACTGATCCCACGGGATCACAGCGTGTTCTGACTCCGTTCAGAGCTGAGGATCCTCAGGACCTGTGGACCTGCAGCACCAGTTCCTGCTGGGAGGCCTCAGACCTTTTACCAGCAGGTGTTTCAAGACAAACAGTGACAAATTGAACTATGGATCCTGCTCTGGGTGACACTTAAGTGACAGTTCAGGTGATACCTCGACTGTGCTTTCCATAATTGTACAACCTTCTGCAATGGCAATGGGACAATGATTTCACATGACAATGTTTCAAAGTGCACCAGGTTTAACTCCTTGACAATTAAAAATAGATTATATTTAAAATCAAGAATAAATGTGAATACTGATTAATCTCTCCACTTTTAAAGTCAAGAAAATCTTAAATTAAGGCCTTTTAACCTGCAAAGCTTTCCTGTGTCATGTTTAAAGACCTACTTTTCAGTATTTCAGCAGGGAACAAGTGCTCCTAGACAGAAACCACAGTGCCCATCTACAACCAGTTACGTGTTTATGGAAAAAAAGTGATAAATCCATGAAAAAAAAATTGCCTGGTAACTGAAGTGCTGCCACAAACTGCTTTGTAGCAGAATGAATAAAATAAATTAGAATGAAGCAAATTGCTTTAGACTTGAGGAAAAAAATCGTTGCCTAGAAAATCTGCATCTAATACATAAATTTTGTTTTAAACCCTTTACATAAATACGGCAAGATTCAATGCTAAATACAAAGCAGGCCATGTTAAATTTAACAACTGACTTTTTAAAGTAATGACTTCCTATTTTTCTACATTTCTAATGAAATAAGCAGTCCTTATATGCTAGAGAGTCTGGATTTAATTACTTTCAGAGATATTTAGATTAATACTCTCCCGTGGAGAATACTTTCAAGACACTGATCAACAGATTCCTAAGATTAAGTTAAGAACTACATTCATCATAAGTACTTTCTATCTGTTATACATAATTGCTTTTTGTATGAAAAATAAATACACAGTGCTAAGCTATTTCTTTTTTTCCTCTCCCTTCCCCAAACCTCCAGATCAGCAAGTGTGGCCACAGTACCACATCTTACAAACAGCACTGATCTCAGGCCAACAACAAGAGAGTTTTAAATTTGAACAATACACAGGTCAAATGACAAAGGGAAACATTCAGTTTTATAACAGATGATGCCATTCCAATCAGAGAACCAACAGCATTATTTTCCCTACATTTATTTTAAGAGAAGTACAAGACATTGCAAACATCGCTTCTGAAGAAGCAAAGAATCAGGACTAATAAACAGACATTTCCTAGGGCAAGAGTTGGATGCAGGGGGATGACCAGCACACACAGCTCAGAAGGTAAAGCCATTAAATCCAGTGAATTACGTGAATTATTTACAAGAATCACGTGTCTGGAATTAAAAGGGAAGGTATAGCATTTCAGCATGTTTTTCACTAAAGAGGAAAAAAGAATTTCAACTGTCCCTCGCCTTTCCAAACATTGAAAAAATATACCATAGAAGACATTTAGAAACAGTGTTGGCATTGCAACCTCTGCAGTTTGTAATGGAAGCCTGTGCCACGTTTCTTAGGGGCCACTCAGTGTCTCATTTCCCTGCCTCTGTCCTTCACCCCTCACTGTCACAGGGCAGGGACACACCAGTTTACACCCAGACCCCACTCTGCACAGCTCCAGTACAAGTTCTGTGCCCAGGACGTGCTCCTGAAAGAGGTTCTGCCACCCTCAGGGATTGTTGCACATCCATTTCATTAATTATTCTAACAACCTGTAAGTAGAGACCAGTTAAAGGAAATGCAGTTCTAACTTCCCTTACATGCCAGCAAATTAAATAACTGTGCTATCTGCTATTTCAGCATCTTAAAAGCCATTTTAACAATTCTGAAAGGTTACAGAACGAGGACAAAACCAGAGGAGCTGCATTTCTGTATTCCCCATGTATACTAAGGAGCCAACACCCCCTCAGCTTCTCTATCCAATTCAACACTTCAGCTTTTCCAAAACAAAACCGCTGCTGGGAATGGAGTGGGTGCCCCCCCTTTATCTCCATGTGCTCCTGCCCAGCATCACCAGCAGGTACAGATCACTCTGCTGGTGTCCAATGCGAACAGAGGGCAGCCCTCACTGCCGGCACATGACTCAGCTGCAATGTTTCTGTAACCTCTGCTGCCTGTCCAGCTTCTCCAACGTGAAAAATGTTCTCTAAATGAGCCAGCGGAGAGCGGGGCTGCAGTACAACTCTGTCAGGATGTATTGTTAAGCAATCCTTCATCACCAGACATGACAGCCCTACTGAAAGGACTTCTTTAGTTTATTTTAAGGGTACACAAAGCAAATAAGGGGAGTCAAAACACTGAAACCATCAACACTGACCTCCGCTGAGAAGGAAGGGGCAATGACTAGTAGAACCATGACATACAATGAAAGCAACTGTTTTAAACTCACTGGAGTGACAATTCCAAAAAGTTTAAAATAATTTTTCATAACTTAATCCTGGAATGCAGGCACAGTTTTTTCTAGAGTACCATGTGGAAGCCAAAGCAGTATTTTTTGCTTGTTTCTACACATACAGCTAACAGTGAGGTGGCACCACTTCCACATACAGGCTTCAGGTTCCCAACACGTGCAGCCAAGGCTTGCTGAACTAGCTCCTGCAAAGTGTCAGTACATTCCTATCCACTTGGAGGATAACCTTGTTGTCACACAAGCAAAGCAGTGATAAATTAACACGACAGAATTCAGGCTTAAATATGCAGTAAAATATCATTCACTATCGAAGTACGGCAAAAGGAGGACACTGAGTCTCCATAATGGTAAGACTCAGCAAACTGACTTTTTATTTACAAGCCAACCAACACTCAGGATTGACAGTTTTTCTTCCTAAGCTTCTGTGCACTACGTTAAAATATCAGCAAATAAAATGAAGGAATAAATGGAGAAACAACTATGAGACCAAGCTTAGCTGTTTGCATTTTGAAATTTCAACGCTACAACTTTTAGCATTCCCTCTTCCCTCATCACTTTAAAGTATCTTGGATAAAAAAAACTAAGGTTTATTTTACTGGAAGTACTAGCTAACTTTAAGAATTGTTTACAAAAACAATCCCACATCCTCCAGTCTTGTTCAGCTGTACAGATCTTCACCCCAACAACAGAAATAACTTAATGCCAGTAGTCATTCATTTACTCAAATTTCACTATTAAGCCAAAATAATGGGCTTGTGAATCAGCTGTTTTATGAAAGACAAACTGTTATTTGGTAGAATGATAGTAACAAGCCACAGTGGAGGTTCTGGTAATGCTGCCATCTCACCACAAGTGACTTAAAAAAAAAAAAAAAAGGGACAGACCAACCAGTGTTTCTCATACCTGAACTGCACCTCAATGAACTCACAGGAAGATTCAAAGGGTGGGAGTCATAAACAGGTAGGGGGAAACTTAATTAAAATATTAAGCTATTAAAAAATAACAAGAAAAACAATAAAAGCAAATGACCCTGATTTACAGCTGGAAGCAGCTCATTTCCTCCAGGGGAGTCAGAAGCAGCTCTGATTCCCTGCTGCAGGGATTTACCCCAGAGAGGGAACTGCCACTGCCTTAAACTGCTGGCAGAGCTGAGCCCCTCCTGGGCAATACAGACAGTATTTACACCTGCAGCTGATAATTCCAGCTGACTTCCCTGCCTCCCCCCCCCGGACCCCGAGGAACTGAGCTCCTGCCAGCAATCACAGTACTACAGCAAGTGCATTTTTTCTTGGGAACTGCTTAAAAAGGTAAGTCCAAACAGTGCTCACATTTACAAAAAGTTTGGGAAACACTCATTTCCCCTGTCCACGACTTGCCCAGCAAGGCAGACCTGTGTGGATCCAGACAGACAGACAGGCCCAAAACAGGACCACGCTGTCTTTTGAGGTTTACAGAGGGATTTCTCATCTCCATATAAGAGATCCATACAGGAACTGGGGCCCAGAAATCACACATATTCCAACACTAATTACAGAAAACTTCAATTTCACTGTCTAGTAATGCTGTAGCTCCTATTTTCAAGCTATGAATTGATGGCACTCTATACAAATGTAGATTCTTCTTTCTCTCTGCCCACCAGAGCACTTGGCATGAAGTTATTTATCTACCTCAAGATTCACATCCATTTTAAAAAAAATATGTACAGGGTTTTGATGCAGAATATGTTAACTGTACCCTCTGATTAGTCTACGTTTTACTCTCCAACGGTTCTGCAAGCAATTTTCTCTCAATCTCATCCTTCCCATGCATTCTCTTAACTGGAAAAAAGGCATTTTCCAGGGCATCTCTTCATCATGTAGTAGGCAAAGGTATACAGCATTATCCTATGGGTTTGGACTGTGGGTTTTTTCTATGAATGGAGAAACACAGCATCATTCTGACAATTTCCAGTTCTTCTGTGAATTTTACATTATTTGCATACTGGAAACCAGAGCATTTAAAAGAAAATATCAGCCCATGCACAGTCTCAGTATGAAAACACTGAAAGTCTAGTCAAAGCAGGGCAGGTTTGTTTCATAAAACCAGCAGTTATTTTCAGGTCATTTCATTTTACAACTTTACCTATTACTTTTGGTAAATATTTATATTTTGAAACAGATTTCCAAACAGGCAGCCCTCTCCTCCACGCTGCAATGAGAGAGGGAGGCATTGCATGGCTATGCCCCCTGAACCACTGCACCATGTAAGGAGGGAGTCAAATACCCAGAAATTCATACAGTTCTACAAACTAGTGAGTTGTCCTTACTTTACATCCCTTTCTTCATTACACATGGGTAAATAAAGACTGCTCAAACAGAGGGATAGAAACCAGAGGCCAGTTCAGCAACAGGTGTGTCACCAAGAGCTGGGGGGAGACGTCATTTCTGAACCCCACAGAACCCAAGGAATATTTTGCATTACTGAACCTGTCCTGTGACAAGGAATCACAGGTCAAAATCAGCCTTCAAAATGCAAAGTGAAATCCCACTTGAAAAAAAAAAAGAAGAAACACAGAAGTATGAATGACTCAAAAGAATCACTCCTATACTGCTGGCAGCTACTTGGGAGTTACAAATGTGTTCAGATTTATTAATTCAAAGGGCTGCCTGAAGAGGGAGAGATTATGAAAAATATGAAAGTTAAATGTCATTGACAATTAATTCCTCTCCGTGTTCTCTGTGCACTCCCCCTCACAAATTTAAAGCTCAGAAAGAAGGTCCTACTTCTGACCAACTAATACATGACAAGCTTCAGAGCAGGTAACCGGGCCATCCCAAAGAAGAGAGCGCATGCTGCCGATCAACCTTATCGCTCGCTAATTCCCTAATACAGGATGTTACACGCACCTACTGCACCCCCGGCTCGGTCAGCCCGCATCCTACAGGCAGAGCCCATCACAGACGGCTCCTTCCCACCCTCGCACCACGGCACACCTTTCCCAAGCCTTCCGCACCCCCTTCCCGGGCAGTGTGTCCCTCGGCGGAGCGCAGGCACACCGACACACACCGGGGGCACACCGGGACACTGCCCGCGGGACGGGACACGCACCCGCCGCCCGACCTGCACTGTTCAGGGGGGGTTCGTGTGTTCGGGGGCTCCTTCCAGCGCCGCCCTCCCACCCCTCCGTCACCCCCCGGGACAAACACCGCGCTGCCGCCCGCGGGTCCCCCCTCGCCGCCCTGCCCGGGAGCGCCGGGGGATGCCCGGGGCCGCACTGCCCTGCCCTGCCCGCTCACCTGTGCCCCGGGGCCGGGCCGGGAGCGAGTCCTGCCCGGGAGAGGGAGGGCCCGGCGCAGGTACCGGGTCGGGTCCCGCCCGGGGGAGGGAGGTCCCGGCGCAGGCCCGGCCGTGCCGGTGCCTCGGGCGGAGCGATGCTCCCTCCCCGTGCCCGGGCACCCGGGGTGCGGCTTCCTTAGTGCTCTCCGTAAGGGACACTCCGGGGCTGCTCTGCCTTTGCTGCACGCTCAGGAGGGCTGCGAAAGCCTCTTGAATGCGTTTCCTGCTACAGAATTCAAGCTCATCTGAGAGTGTATTTATGCGGCACCTTTGCTCCCAGAGAGGTTTACAAGCCCTGGCTCTGGGCACTGAGTACCTCGGTGCCATCCCCTGGCAGACTCCAGGTATTTACAGGACCTGGATTTACACCTCCCTAAGTGTGTCCCCTTCAGGATAAGGAACGGATCCCAACATACACTCCTGGCGTGGAGAAGTGGATGAGTTTGATCAGAAACTTTGAAACAGAATTAGACAGAAAACAAATTATTTGATACCTCAGTGCTGAATGAATCATTAAAGGATTAATCAGATTACTCACAGCTCTATAAAGATGCTGAGCAATGGTATTTTGCATTTCAGTCACCTTTTGCATCCAGTCCCAAAGAGGTGACGAGATGGGCCATTTATTTTCAATACAACACATCCGTCAATACTCTCCCTCTAAATATGCAAAAAACTTCAGTCAGGATCTTTGGACTTGAAATGAAACCCATATAGCAAATTGTTTAAAACCAACAACAACAGCTCCCAAACAAACAAAACCCCTAAACAAACACTGTTTTTCAAAATACCCATTTCAGAATCTAAAAGGAAAAATATTTAATCTAATAATATCTATATATTTTTAGTGATTTTTTTATATATGCTAAACTTCTTAGAGAAGTTATCTGAAACCAGTTAGTTAACATAGATTGAAGGAAAAACAAACTCCAAAAGACTGTGGATGTTATGGTTCATAAACTGGGGCTCAGTTGCAGCGTGCTGGTATGACACCCTTAAAACACCCTGCAGTCCTTCCAAACCCTGATGGTCTGGGCAAAATGTAGCTCCTGCCTCCTTTAATCAAACTTCTGTCTCTGTTCTCAGTCAGACTGTTATTTCCTACTTCATTTATTAACTATCTAGTTTGGAGTGACCAAATGCTAGGAGTAAAATCTTTCAGTGTACAGGGGAAAGTTCATTCCCAACTCACAAGGAAAATTGTTCAGGTGGATTTAGGTGTCTACACGTGGGCAGAACCGAATAAGCAAAGCTTTCACTTCTGACCAGGAAACACTGAAAAAAACAAAAAATTATAAAGCATGGGTATAGTTGAAATCTTGTAGTCATCATCAATAAATTGGAAATGTTTTGTGTTAAAGATACTGGTATTTACTTTCAGCTGATTAGATGCTTGTGTACATGTTATGTGCATAAATAAAAGATGAGAATTAGTCACCACTTGCACATCAATATGAAAATCTAAGATACTGAATTGTTATATTTTAGGACTCTTATCTTGCCAAACAAGAAACTTGAAAGCATTAGTATCAAATCAGTACAATTTCCACACTGCCTTGCTTTAGATACCAACAGTGTTTGCTCTGCCAGGTGACGTGGAAAGGCCTGACATTTTAAAGTCACATTCACTGTCATTTTTAAAAGCATCTTCCATCATTTATTCAAAGTTTGTCTCCACCTTTTTTTGCCTGTTGAAAACAGTGTGTACATAAAGCCTCTGGGAGGTTTTTCACGGCTGCAGAAATGGGGCATTAGTAATTTGTTTGAAGAAATTAATATGGTAAACAACAAAATTGTGCTAACAGCATTCCAGTAGCAAGGTGCAATCTATTTTAGCAGGAATGGCTTTGAGCTTTCAGACTTGGTTTAGTTGAATCATTATTTATTTATACACAAAGTGTGTAGTTGGAATTTCGTAGTAAAACATTAAGCTGTGAGCACACATACTTGCTACTTTTTTGACACCTGATCTGGATGTTTGTCCCTGTATCACAGCAAATAGAAAACTATATTGTAAAATGCAATTTCAGTTCTAGTTATGATTTCCTCACTACTTTTTAAAATTTCTTTAGGCCTGACCTTTTTCATATTTATATCCCATAGACAGGATTTCTTTGTGTAGTTTTTTTTTTTTCAAGTGTAAGCATAGGTTTGGTATGGTTTTAGTTGAAAGATGAATATTAGTGGTTTGCATTTCTATATCTCAAAGTTAGATCTCATACAGAACATGTTTTCAAGCTCTAGTAAGGAAGAAAATACCACCTGTAGGTAGCAAAGAATTTTTTGAGTCCTAAACAGTGCTGGAGTGTTTAGGTGCCCACCAATAGCTCATGGGACAGCATTGCTTAAAAAATTATTTGAACAAGTTCATGACGCTGACAGCACCAAATCTTCCTTTCCAAAATCACATGGGGAAAAAATAAAATCTTAAACCAGCATATTGTCTTTTCCCTTATTATTAATAAAGTTACATAAAGGGCAGATAAACCAGGAAAAAGCCCCCAAACTTAGAAAGCTACTGGAATCTTGACTATGGTGCCAGTTAAACTGGCAGCCTCGAAGCAAATCAATATTGTTTCAGTTGTTTCCTAAGGCTGGAAAACCAGACTTGTAACCAAGCTAGATAAGCACAAGCCATTGGCATGGGCTGCATTGTACTTATAAAACAGGAGCCAACAGCACAATTTTTCTGGAGGATCAGCTGGAAATTATGAACATAGTGGAATTTTACAAGGAGAAACATAAGAATTATGCATTGTGTCATGCCAAAACTGCATTGCCATACTTAAAGAAATCTTGCTATTGAAAATCAGTAATTTCGGCAAGGAAAACTACCCAGGTGAATGTACTGGCTTATAATAATTTATCATTAATTTTTTTCCTTCAAATTTAAAAAAAAAAACAAACAACAAAAACCTTCATAACCCAACAACAGATTTCAAGTTAAAATAGATAATGGCAGTGAGATCTGCCACCTCCTGTCATACAGGATTGGCTTCTCACAGATGAGTAGTTTTTCTAGATTAAAAGCAAATCTGTGAAAGGAGACACGAGCACCTCCCCCTGCAATTAGGAGCTGGCACCAGGAGAATCATGTGTTGCAGTTCTGCCCTATTTGCTGCTCATTTGTTCTTTTTTTAACACCTGGCAACACAAGAGTGACTGGAGGTGAGCAACTAAGTTTATACACAACTCAGGCCGGCTTTGATTGGGACCAGCAATCAAGTTCAGAGGGAACAGGAATTGTTTATCTAGCTGATCCCAGAAACACTAACTGGAAATGTGTATACTCCGAGGATTTAGACACCTTACAGTTGGCAACAGACAAGTCCCAAACCATTTTCTGAGTATGAGCAGCAATGTTCTCTTCCAACCAAAACAACCCAAAACTCAGTGTCATGGATCAAGCCACAAGAAAAAGAGGTTTTCCCCTTTTAACCCAGTCCTGCAGAGTATTTTATCATATTGTTCACTTAAAATAAAAAGAGTTGCTCTTTGACTACCAGCTAGAACACAGAGCTCCCCTCAGTGCCTTAAACACCATGTGGTGAGGTCATTCTCAGTCTCAGGTTTTCCATCTCTGGTCCAGAGAGCCCATCATTCCCTGTGTACCTGCCAGCATTTCCAAGGACACCGAGCAAGCAGAATGCTGCTGGTTTCTGAAGCAATCAGGGCAACTTCATTGTTCTGAACTTGACCTGGTGTCACCTGACACTGCAAAACGGCCCAGAAAACTCAGTGGGCTTCTGCCTCCCTTTTCCTGCCTTGCTGTTCCGGGAGGAGTAAGAGAATCCTCACCCAAGGTTTTTGGAAAGGACAGTTCCCTCTCCCCACAGTGCTGAGGCAGAACAGAGTGCAGACTGTTCATGCCATTTGCTCACTCTCCTGAGTTCCTGCAGCCATGTGTGCACTTCTCCCCTCTCCCAGGGCCATTCCAAGCTGAGCCAAGCAGGTGCATTTCTGCACCTGTGAGAACCCTCACACACCCTGAGGGGCTGGGGCAGGCCACTGGAGTTGGGGTCACAGTCTGGACTTCTCCAGCACTGCCTGCATTCAACCCCAAAAGGCTGCACCACTGTGAAACCTACTGCTGCAAATAACAGCCACGTGTCCATCTGAGATCTTGAGAGGTTTATCATGAACCTCCTGGGCAGTCTTTTGGGTCCTTGCTCTGAGTTGGCAACATGGGTGACCCACACAGCAAAATACCCCAACAGAACCCACAGTCTGTCAAACATTCTTGGAGACAAAATCAGAACTGACAAATGTGTCTTTAAAAACCAACCACCTGCAATTACAAACAAGTAAATAGAAATGTTAAAAAGAAGTTACCATAGACTAGATTTCCACAGAAGCCAGAACCCCCAGTAACAAGGTGCATTTGGTTTGATTCACCAGTCGGGTACCCCAAGGATAACAGGATCCACTTCACTGCTGTGTGTCAGGAGAGGACCAGAATATGGGCACCCACAGGCACATCACTGTGCTGGGAGGGATGAGCTGCCAAGAGCATCAGATTTTCTAGCTGCTACATTAGTAAAGATCTGTATGATTTTCAGCAGTGCTTGATGGGGAATCAAGGGGAGCCAGAAGATTAAAACCAAGTGTGAGGATGATTAAAATCATCCACAGAAACTGCTGGTTTATTTTAATGCAAGAGGACAATAATACAGTGAGCACTGGCTAACAGTGGTACAGCACAAATATTGAAGTGTCTGTATTAATCTAGCACGGGTCCAACTCAAGCACAACTTCCAGCTCCTGAGGGTATGAGCGATGAAGGGGAAAGTGAGAGAATCGCTGCTCAGAAAATCGCATGGCAAGAACTGCAGCTAGATTAAAAAATGAAACATGGCTTAACTTCTCAGCAAATAACACACAGTTATAGGTATTACCATGGCAGTTAGCTTTTCTTACACACCATGGCTTAAGCCAGTCATCACAGCAGTTGTCAGCAGTATGTTTTATCTGCTAGAGCATGTCTCTATCCTGCTGTAGCAAATAATGTACTTTCAGGTTTTGAGTCACTCAGCTGCACAGACAGGAATGGCCTGAACACAGGGACACATATTTGATTATTATGTATTTGATCATTTATCATTCTTCCCTTTACCATGCCACAGCAGTGTTACACAGATGCACTAAGCTTTAAAAACATGGTATTTTGATCCTGGCAGTATTATTTCAGTGGCTGAACAACAAGGAGGGTTGTGTGTGTAGAGAATGGACTGACTGCACTATAATGATTAGCATCAATCAACTATATTCACCAAATTGCACCAGCCTGGCCTGCTGCACAAGGTTGTGTGTGCTGCAGACCTGCTCTGGGCAGCTGGGGGAGAGTTCCATAATGAGAGTGATGGAACCCACCAGTTTAACAGGGGGGTTTGGTGCTATCGTGTTTCACTGCCCTTGAAAGCCAAAGTGCTTTAAACAGGTGACTTTAGCAGGTAAGAACATTGTCAAAACTTGTTTCAATAACATATGTGTTTTTAATAATACACTAGTCTATAATAACCTACAATAGTAACTCAAACTGACGTTATCTATAAAATGTAAGATCCAATATAATTCAATTAAATACCAGTCTAACAATTTTTATGCAAATTACTTTGCTCCATCTTGCACATCCCTTTATCTCTGGAGATCACTCTCAATTTCCTTTTCTGCAGCCACACTGCATTTTGGTAATATCACCACTGAAGCTGAAGATAATGTTTCAGCTCTTAAGCCTACCAGAAAATTATAGTTAGATTTATATCCACTGTAGTCACACAACTTTGCTTTCCAATGATTTTTCAAAGTACTTTTCCATGAAGTCTAGAAAGTTCAGACAGGACACCAGCATTGTTTTCAGTCTATTCTGAATTTCAGACCAGTTTTTAAGTCTATTAATAGCCTCTGTAGAAGAATGTTCATTAGAAGGAGGGCTGTAAGCACATCCTAGATCAGACTCTTCCCATTTTAAGTCCCAGATGCTTATAACTTTGCCAAACATTAAACGCTTGGGCTG